AGAGGCCAAGTAGCTTCTTACAGTAACACAGCTAAGAAGCAGTGAGATGGGATTCACACTCTAGCAGTCTAACTCCACAGCCTGTCCTTTTAACCATTAGACAGATTAGCTTGTTGGAGAAAAAGCCTGACTGTCATGCAGCCAGGTAGGTGTTTGTGTCTTTTTCTAATACCAGCATTAAAAGTGAAAGTGAGTTCTATATGGAAAAAGGATTTGTTTTAATTCATTCTGTTCAGTGGAGAGCCTGTGGTGTGCAGGGTATGGTATCAGGAGTCCAGAGACACAAAGAATCAGATCTAACCACCTCTGCCTTCAAAGAGCTATAGTGTTCTTCAGGTGGCGCTGCATGACCCCAGGTCTTGAAAACCCATGCAGGGTGCAGAAATGCCACACAGCTGGTGGGACGCTGTTCTGTTGGTTCCATTGGTGATGTCACTGAAAGAAATGATTGCACAGGAGATTTGAAAATAAAGCCCACTCAAGTGTTTATAGGACAGCACTGTGCCAGGTTTTAATTCTTCTCTTTTAATAACTTGCTTTTTGAGTCTTAAGTTTGAGACCAAAGACAATAAAGGAGTGACTAGTAATGAATTCGTTTGTACACAATATTCAGTTGAATGTTTGCTTATTTGATGACTAAAAATAAAAATGTTAATTGTATTATAGATATTCCTGGTTTTTAATATGAAGGTATTTATTGATGTTTCAATATTTAACCTGCAGCTTTTCAAGGTTCTGCATAGAAAGTGAAATAATTACAAGTAGTTTAAGGAAAAGATTCTTTACTTTTATACTGAGAAGAGTAGCCAGTAGCCAGTATGTAGGCTATTCTTCCAGTTGTGTCATAAAACGCTGCCAGGGTTATAAAGAAAATGTGTAAAGCTATCTCCTTGTCACCAAAATGGAGCTAGTGAACAGACATCTGCCTTAATGTTTATACTATTAAAATTATAATTAGGGTGTTTAACATATGCTGTAGTTGGCTTCCACAAATTTAGCCACACCTGATTTCTCAAATTTATTGAAATGCAAATGTTGTGGCTACTGGGAATTATTATTAGAAAGTTATTGGATTTTGCATATTTAATATGATTTCTTCCAAGAATGTAATTAAAGGTAACCTTTGCAGAATTGGAGGTTCTGCTAAATCTGTTCTAATTTCTTGGCTAATGTTAACTGCCAAGTAAATCTTAATGAAACGCAAATCAACACATCCATACATAGGAAGCACTAACCTAACACAACCCTTGGAAGAAAGCTGTTCTATCCTTGTAGACAGAGCTTAGGCAGGGATGGTTCTCTGACTTCTGAATGGTCATTAGCACATAGATTGTTTAATGTCGAAAGATAACACACAACCCACCTTTATCCACCATCATATGCCTGTCTCTATTTTGAGACAGTCAGGCAATATCCTCAYCTGCAAGCAGAGCTCTGAAACACAGACAGCTCCCTGCTTCACCTTGCAGGCTTTAGAGTGTTGGGGGAAAAATAGCAGCCTATGAAATGGCTGCAGTGTGTGAATGTGAGTCTCTGTGCACATAAGGGTGTGTGTTTATATTAGTATRTATGAATATTTTGAGGGGTGTGCATGTACACGTATGTGGTATGTACATGTATGTGATGGAGGAAGACAAGTGTTCTAGTCTTTATTCTCTCTTCCATTTTAGGGCTTTCAGAATGCCAAGGAGATTACTATATCTTTTGGGAAATCTAGTCATTACTTAATGGAAAAAAACAGACATTTTAAAATTTAACAATTTTTAAATTAAAAAAAAGACATTTTTAGTGATATAGGATAATCAGATTTCGAAATTAAATTGGAGGACAATGACTGAGGTGAAATCAGGTGGTGTTCTAATTTTCTCTCTCTCTTTTTTGGTACTGGGAATTAAACCCAGGGGTGCTTAACCACTGAGCAACATCTCCAGCACCCCTTCCCCTTTTTTTCCTTTAATTTTTAAATTTTGAGACAGGGTCTTGCTAAGTTGCTTAGGGCCTTGCTAAGTTGCTGAGGCTAACTTTGAACTTGTTATCCTCCTACTTCAGCTTCCTGAGCCACTGGGATTGGAGGTGTGTATCATTGTGCCTGGCCCTATTTTTTTTTTTTTAATTATCAGGGACCAACAATCTGAAATGGAGATTGATTAAATATTTGATGGATTAAATGTCTTATTATATATTGCTATTTCCTTTTCTAAGTCCCTTAAAAATTAACTTTGCTCTCATCTGATGTTAAGTGTATAGGAGACTCCTGGTTTTGATGAATGAATAAGTTGTGTGGGATTAGTACTCCAGAAGTGAGAATGAGGCCTGAGAAACCCCACTCCCCAGAAACCCAGATGTTCTTCTCCTAGGACTTAAATCACAGGCGCCCTCACGGGATCTCACATTTCATGAAGCAGAGAAGAGACMAAGTTCTCATGAGAACCTCCTTAGTCAGGTGCTTGCTTTCACATGGGCTACTTTATTCAATCTATATGGTGACCTGCCAAAAGAGGTATCAGATCCCCAATTATACAGATGAGAAATTTGAGCACCTAAAATAAGGTAACTGAACTAAGGACCCTTAACCACTAAATAGCAAATCTGGAACTTGAACCCAAGTGCCTCTCCTCTCCTTCTTTTCTCTCTTGCTCCCTGTGAGGCTGAAGGACTTCTGATAGTGTCACTTAGCATAGAAGGGGGTGTATGCCAGAGTGTGAGAGGGCAGGGAAGTGGGTGATCGTGGAAATAGAACTCTGCCCTGTCACAATAGAGAGTCTCCAGACATGCAGAGAGACCCTATAACCATACACTGTCAGTTTCTATATGTACTTTCTCATCACTTTCTACTACAAAGAAATAGAACAYTACATAAAACTATTTCTGTTAGGATATAATAAGAACAAATAGAATTATATATAAGAAAAATGAGACTGCAGAGATTTTTAGAAATAAAAATCTGCTGAGGACCAGATAGCTAGAGAAAGGCGTAGCTATGTTTTCAATAGGGCTTGTTGCTTCAAACCAAAGGCTAATTGTTCTGTCCCTTCTCCCATGCCACAAGGCTGTGCCATTATGACCATCTGAGGGCAGAAAAATTGGTGTAGTACTGGGACCTGTGCAAACTGTGGCAGATCAGTTTGTTTCTAGACCTTAGCCTTAKTAATCTTGTGATGTGATTTTCTCATTTCTCCTCTGTTCCCAAGAGAGAAACCAAGAGGTAAAATTGAATAATAAAGTACAATCTCATTATAAAATGTCTCAGTGGTTCACATATTGGATTATATTTTCACAGCAAATATTTTTTTTCTCTGTGTAATGAGGTACTCAGTGCCCAAGTCTTTCTAAAAACAGAGAAAGTCTTGTGTCAGTAGATCTGATYTTCATACTCCAGTCATTTTTAATAATGAAATTCTGCTATATCTGTGGAATTTTTTTTTTTAACTTTTTCAGAAATTTATGTTCCCTTATATACCYTTGAAAAAAAACTAGGTGTCCTTTCACTTGAAATTTAACTATCACAGCTTGTTCCCCTCCACTCCATTTCTCATGAACTGTTAAACATGAAGTACTGTCACGGATGGAATTTGGCACCTTAATTCTCAGAGTAGCTCATTCCTGGTAATGTCCCAAATAGCCTGATGAGAAGTTACTTTTTTTTTTTAATGAATGTTGTTGTACTTCTCTCTCTCTCTCTCTCTTTTTTTTTCTTTATTTTTTCTTTTTTGGTGGTACTGGGTTTGAAGCCAGGTGCACTCTACCACTGAGCTGCATCCCCAGCCCTTTATGTCTTATGTTAAGACAGGATCTGGTAAGTTTCCCAAGCTGGCCTCAAACTTGGAATCTTCCTGAGTAGCTGAGTTTACAGGCATGCACCACCTCACCTCTTCACCTGGCTACAGTCATCTTTATTTCTAATAAAAGTAGATAGTGAGAAGGGGAAATATTCAAAGAAGCATATAAGATGAATTTCACATTGTTGTTGTTTAACCACCTTTTGGGAGATATTTACCAATCTTTATTCTGTAAATGTAGCACAAATAGAATTGGGGGCCAGTAAAAGACTTTTTTTTTCCCTCCCAAGATGGCGCTCCTTATAGTGAAACAAAATAAACATATAGAAATGCATTTTTTTTCTGTACCTAAACAATGTTTTCCATTATGAAAACTAGGGTCATTCACTGGCTCAAATTCACCAGTTGTGGAATTAATTTTTAGTAAAATAGCTGTTCACTGAAATCTAACAAATGAAATTATACAATTCTCTGGGAAAATTACTTAAGAARCCTTGTCCAGCCCAGGGAAAGCTCGCCCTCTTGAACCCTCATGGAATCTTTAGAGAATATTCTAGGCCTGCTTCCAATCTCCCATGTGACCCATTAGGTGAGGTAGGCACAATAAATGGCTAATTGTGCCATGGTGGGTTTCAGAATAAAACAACACAAAGTGGTCCTGCAGGGATGCTTCACAGCTTGCCCTGTAAGGAAAATAGGGGACTTCCCTGTGGGATTGTTGTTCTTGTGTAATTTCACCTGACATGATTTACCATTGAGTTGTAGAGGTCAAGAAATCAGAAACCTTTATTTCTAGCCCATCATTCTTCTTCTTTTTTTTAATATTTATTTTTTTAGTTGTTGCYGGACACAATACCTTTATTTTACTTATTTATATTTATGTGATGCTGAGGATCGAACCCAGGGCCCCACACGTGCTAGGCGAGTGCTCTACCGCTRAGCCACAACCCCAGCCCCCCTACGAATCTAACTCCTTCTTTAATAAACCCTTTCTTCCTGTTTCTCTCTCATAAAGATCTTCCTCCTAATATAAATTCCCATCTAAAWTTTAATGTACTTCCTTAGCCAATATTACAATGAATAATATTAGAAACCTCTATATGTGGATGACCAGTCGAGTCTTTGTGTTTCTTCTTCTTTACAGCTATTCTGAATGAGCTGTTGTTTAATTTTGTAGCTGTGTGATTTTACCTTTGCTAATCAAAATGTTGCATTTTCAAGTGGCAGGACWGCTTCACAAATGAGCCGAGACCTTTCTATTCAACTTCCCCGGCCTGATCAGAATGTGTTAAGAAGTCGAAGCAAAACTTACCCTAAGAGAATAGCACAGACACAGCCAGTTGGTAAGTCATGATGCCTTAAGTCATCTGTGTAACTTTGCATTTTCYTTTAGGCTCATGGTACAAGACATGCTCAGGTAGTGACTATAATCCTGTATGTAGTCTCTTTATTCCTTTTTTTTTTTCTTTTTTGATACTGCAGATTGAATCCAAGGACACTTTACTATTGAGCTGCATCCCTAGTTCTTCTTTATTTTTGACAGAGGACCTCACTAATTTGCTGAGGGGGAGAGTCTTGCTAAGTTGCTGAGGCTGTCCCAGAACTTGTGATCTGCCTGCCTCAGCCTCCCAAGTCATGTACCACTGCACCTGGCTTTTTTTTTTTTTTTCTTTTTGAGACAGAGTTTGCTAAGTTACCACGGCTGGTATTGAACTTGAGAACATACTTCCTTAGCTTCCCAAGTCACTGAGATTACAGGTGTGCACCATCCCACTGGGCTTATAGTCTTCTCGTTTTTACTAGTAGAATATTTAGTTTGACCTTGGTAATATTCAATCAGTAATTATTCATTTGTAGATAAGTAGTCACTTGTAGATAAGTAGTCATCCTGACTTGCTTAAGGATTATAGTTTATTTTTGAAAGGGTTTTATTTTATAAATAAAATCTCAGTTTAGTAATTTCTTTGGTTATTTGACATTGAATTGAAACAAACTTTTTTTAAAAGTCTCCTAAAAACAAAACAAAACAAACAAATAAACAAAAGAAACACTGGTGATGTAACTTAATTTGTACAAAATTTGTTTGGGTTTTTGTTATTGTTTGTAATTCAGTATGAAATATAATACAGAAAGTGCATGAAATACAAACATGCATATGTGTATATGGGCATATACACATGTGTCCGTGGGTGTGTTGTGTACACTAAGTTTAATATAACTAGTACCCCCACCTCGAGTCCCTCATGGCATTTCTTTGATCATATTCTCATCATCCAGTCTCTCCAGTTAGAAGAAATCCTGTCTAACTTGTGATCATTATTTTCTTACTTTCCATTATTATTTACTTCTGATAGAGCCTTTGCCTGTTCTTAATCAGGCATGTGCATCTTCTTTTGCATCTTATTTTTTGTATCAACATGACATGTAGTGGGTACTAAAGTGTATTTATTTTTCTTGCTGTGAGTATTCCAGAGGTTTTCAATTTTATCTATTCTATTGTTGGTAGACATTTGGGTTTCTTGAATTTTTTTGTTTCTGATGTAGATTATTTCTTTAATAAATTAATCAGTTTTAATTTATATGTTTAGTGCTCAAAGCCCTCAGAATTTTACTGTAAAATAATGTTGCTGACTTGGGTCTGTGGCTTGCTTATAGATTACCCTTGTCTAACTCTCTCCAGATTCATTTCACATATAACATCTCATTTTAGTCTCACAATAACTTTGTTTGGTAGAATGAGGCAAGTATATTCACATTTTATAAGTGAGGGAGACACAACCCCAGCAGCTATACAGAGGTAAGGTTAGGGAAGGAACCCAAGGTCTCCTGGGTCTTTCTGCCAGATTATGTGAAGTCAATAGAATTTTTWAAAATATCTTTATTTTATTTTTATGTGGTGCTGAGGATCGAACCTAGTGCCTCATGCATGCTAGGCAAGCTCTCTACCACTTGAGCCACAATCCCAGCCCCTGAATAGAATTTTTAATGATAGTAGTTAAATCTGAGCATCATATGAAAATTTGCAAAGCATTATGACATCTACTGTTTCATTTAATCCTCATTAAATGTCAAGCCTCTGAAGTGTATGAGTTTGTTCCACCATTTCTGGGTGTGAAGATGGCATCTGACTTATCATTTCTAAAGCCAAATTAAATCCAAGAAGGTCCCCTTCTTTCATTGAACTGGGAGGAAACAATCCTTTTCTGGTGGTTCTATAGGGGCAGAAATAAAACATGATTTAAATTTGTAATAGATTACCTTGCCACATCACTGTTACGGTTATTCCTCACTTAGCTGATGAGGAAACTGAAGATTTCAGACAGTTGGTCAGTATTAGTATGGAGCAAGTGCAATTAGTTACCAATTAGTCTGGTTACCTATTAGTCTGAGTACAAGGAGACAGAACACACTCAAGTGTAACAAGTTACATGGAGTAGATTTATTACTTACAGTTAGGTAGCATGGGACAAAAGAAGACTAGAATCTCTTGTGAGTTGGTCCTCCAGAGCTCAGTAAAGCTTCCTGGGACAGAGTCTTAACGGAGTATGCTTTACTTCCACTACATCTTAAAGGACCCTAAAAGGCAGCTCACTCTGGATTACATACCTAAGTGGTCATGTGGCTCACTAGACTTTAAAGCTTTGGTGGACATCTTGCTTCTAGAGAAGAGAGGAACAAAGCTCAGGCTGTCCTCAGCAGTTTCTTCCTAACTCAAGATGTTACAGTCCCTAGGAGAGACAGGAATAAGGGCTGGGCTAATCAGGGTAGTTCCTCTCTATCTTAGGATATCACATTCCTAGCATGTTTTACAGTTATTCTTGAGATCCATAGGCAAAAAGCCTGGGTTGGGCCAAGGCCACCCAGAGAACTTTCTTGCAATTATATAATAGTCCCAGGGCAAAAATTCTAGTCTTCTAATGCCTAGTTTTATGCTTTATCTTAATACTTTGTATTACTCTTATATGAGCAGTCTGAAGTCCCATTTGGATCAATTATACTATAGCTATAGTTAATAAGAAAACCTTCAAATCCTATGCTATTTCTGAAACACCATGAATGCCTTATAAAATTATTCTGAGACCAACTGAGAATATTAAAAACATTCACTGCCTCAAGTCAACATTTCATTCCACTTGTGATGTTGGAATCACATATGCTATCTCTATAAACCTGTTGCAATTTGCTTTTTTTTTTTTTTGTCTCCTGTGCTTTTATGAAATATCTGCATATAGTCTACTGGCTGGAACACTTTTTCTTTGTGCTTTCCATAGAATCCTAAATACTAGAAGCTGGATTGAGGGACAAATCTTTTTTTTTTTTTCCTGGCTTTTGTAGATTCAGCCAAATACAGTTTTCACAGAGCAACTTGGAACTGTATTGCGCTGTCAAATCCATGCTAACAAGGTCACGTCTCATTCTGTTCTGCTGTGAAAGAGCCCCCCTGTAGCATGGTCTGTTGGTTGAGCATATTGGAACAGATTCCTTCTTCATTAGGGGATGAGGGTACAGGTGGGGCATGACATGGAATAGGTGTCCTTCTCTGAGGACAGCCTTCTAGCATCAAGTGGGTCTTTAAAGAATGTGACATGTGGTATGCCTTTACTAATATCAAAATATATAGTTATTTTATAAGATTTAGAAAACTTAGAACTTTCCCTCACAAAAAAGAAAAAATAAAGCTTTCATATTCAGTTCTGTCTTCTAGTACTAGCTATGTATTATTATAGCCTGTTAATTGTTCATATATCTTTCCTAGAAAAATGGAATGATAATGTTTTACAACAGAATTGTCTTTTTTAATATATCATGAAAATGTCCTACATCTTTACATGTTCTTATGCAGCACCAGTTTAATGTCTGGAYGATGTTCTGCTTTATAGATTTTTATATAAATGTGACAATTTATTCAACCAATCCTTAATTATYGGATACTTAAGCTGTTTTAATATTTGAAAACTATAACTATAGCAAATATCCCTCTAGTAATGTCTTTAAGCATTCATGATTATTTATTATATATTTTAAACAATGATATATACCCATCATTTTTATTCTAAAAAGTACTGTATATAAGCTAGTGTTTAAGACTGCTAAAAGCACATTCCACTTTGAATTTTTTTTAGTAGCTTATGCTCTACAGTACAGTGATCTGTTCTATGAATCCCTAGATGACCCTCCCTATGACAGTATGATTGTCCTGAGTGAGGAAGTACCACTTAGCAAATGCCAGTGATCCAGAGTTGCAGTTGCTATCATGCTATGTAGGAAGAATATTGTCAGGGATAATTTTCTTCCATTTTTAAAATATTGCATTTTCTTGTTTTTCTATTTCAAATGTACTCTGCATTTTGTCCTAATTGACCCTGGCTGATAGAAAGGCAGTCCCTCACTCCTAATGCTGTGGTGGGCTTCTGATTCAGAGCAGAGGTTTGAAGAGGCCCTCTAGTCTTCATTGCACCAGCGTGGCTGTGCTTGTTGTATGCATGCTCCTTTTCCAAGCCCTGCAGGCCCCACAAAGGTGGGCAGTCTGTGTAAAGCCAGTCTGAGTGAGAGTAAGAGGGGAGGGGTCTGTGATCAGTTTGGGACCCTCTTGGGCCTAGGGTCCAGCCTACCTAAAGAGATCTTCCTGTCACTCTGCTTTTTCCCATCTTCCTCCTGCTCTGCTGCTTCAGAATAGCCCCTCACTCAGAAGCTTCCTTTCTCTGGAACTTATTCATGGGTAGTTGGGTGAGAATGAACAATGGCTCTCTCATTTTTTTTTATTCAAAAAATTTTTTTAATTGGACTGGAATTGGAGCTCAGTGGTAGAGCTTTTGCCTAACATGCAAAAGACCCAGCCCTGAGTTGGCTCCCCAGTACCTCTCTAAAAAAAATTWAAAAAAWTTTTTTTTACTAGTTAGAGGAAAACAAAAGTGTTACCTTAGTAAATTAATTTGCCATAGTTACTTTCCTTATTATTTAAAAACACAGAAAAAGTTTTTTTGTGATAGTATACTATATTTGGCAGAAATAAAATTATAGTTTAAATAAGGAGATTTATTTTTACCTTAATCAGGCCAGATATTAATTTTTGTAGAAGGAATTCTGTTGGAATTCTTTTTTTAATATTTTTTTTTTAGTTGTAGATGGACACACAATGTCTTTATTTATTTTTATGTGGTGCAGAGGACTGAACCCAGTGCTTCACACATGCAAGTAAGTGCTTTACCACTGAGCTACAGCCCCAGCCCCAGCCCTCGGTATTCTCTTTAAATGAAATTTTAGAATTACAGTTTTTGGATTATCAGTACACATTCTCACCTCTCATTTAACATTTATGTATCATAAAAAACAAGTTGTGATA